TACGTCAACTCTATGAGTGAGCAAACTAAATTTTAGTTTTGCACTTACTAAAATTCGGAATATATTCAATTAAATTTAATGCTTGTGGTGAACTTATGATATATTTGCGGATATACAAACTAATGATATACTTAAAATAAATAATATTTACTTGAATACAGTATACATTTTGCTCTGTGTACTTTTTAACATCTCATTTCGATGCATTTTTAAATGAATATGAAATAAACAGTGCAGCATTCAAGAAGATTTAATTATCTTTTATGTAAAAAAACTTCAACGTTAATATTAAAATATTGTTTTATAAGTAATCGATTGAATCCGCGCGAGTCAGCATTTATATTGCGATGCAAACCTCGTAATAGCCGACTTTTAATTACATTTTGCATCTAACTATATCTTGTGTAACAGACAGTTGGATAACGGCACTGTAAATGAAGGAAAAATAAATGCCCTTTTACACAAACAAATGGCAAAAATCAAATTATTTGTAGCGTTGAACCAGGCAATTAAGCGAGCGATGCATCTACGCGTTAAAGGTAGCTTTTGCGTTTCATATTTCAAAGCTTGGCCTTTGAAAGAATCCTGTAACCGAATTAGTCGTGCGATCTTTTAAGGTATTTTGTGTTACCTTTTTTTATGTAAAATTGTGCAGAAAATAGTATTTCTTACATGATAATCCTCACTTGTTCTAAATGTCAAAAATGCAAGCGTTTTCTTTTCTTACTCTTTTTTTTAAATAATATACAAAATTGTATTTTAAGATCATTTTTTTATCACGTTACAACTCGAATTACATACATGATATGTAGCAGAAAAATTAAGTAAGATTAATGCATAATAATTTTTATTATAAATTTAATATAATCATGTGATGACGTAATTAAAGTATCTAAGCTATTGATAAGATTGCTTTATTTTAATTAATTAAAGGATCTTAAAATTACAATGTGTCTTATAGGAGACTAAGAGAAGATAGCATATCGCACACACTTGCACATGTGCGGCAAACGGCTCGCGGACAACTGTAACAACAGAAGAAAGCGGCAATTAAAATTATTGTAGCCATCTGTCACAATAAAGATCGACATGTCCGCGACCGCAGATTGTGTTGTGCGTAAATCCGCCGAAACTGCGTAGCGCAACCTTTTTCCATCGTTCGCACGAAATACAGGGGTGGTTTGATTGATGAACGACCGTAGAAGAATCGGAGAGCGTTGTTACGTGACCAGAATATGGGTTGTTGACGCTTTTATTACCATGATGGTAATCAAAGCGGCATTTTCAATGATTTCTCCGTAAATAGTTTAGTAATTAATGATGATGATTCGTTGATCGTTTTAGGATGCGTTAAAATTGCGTGCCGAATAAAAAAAGATTTAAAAATTCAGAGATTTTCTTAATTTTCATAAAGAGAATAATATTGTAAAAGATCGTCCCGAACCTCGATAAAATTCATCGCTTTATCACTTGACAGATTTTTTGCCATAACACAACTCGCATGAAATTAAATGATTTATGCGATTCATAATTCTCTGTCGACATAAAAATTACGAGCAGCTCGTAATTAATCGCATTACGTGTAACGAGCTCTGGCGCGCTCGTCTTAATTAAACAGAGAGCGCGATAGGGACAATTATTATTGCCGGACCTTATCGTTCGGCGATTCGCTGCGAATCGAACGGAGGCTCGCGTCGAATTTCCCGGTGCAATTATGAGCGCGTTAAAACTCGGCGGCATTTGGCGACGGCAATTTCGCACGAAAAATTATAGCGAGTCATCCGAGCGGCCGTTTCTTGGACGCAACGAAGGGCTCGTTTGCATTTCACGTTAATAACGGGACCATGTGGCACCGAAGGCAGCCTGCTGCCACAGCTGTGTGTATGTGTGTGCGCGTCAATAAAATAAAATTCCATCCGGTAGGAACGGTGGCGGTGGTGCGCCACGTGGATCTTAAAGATTACTCGCGTTTCCGCATTCGTGCCATTTAATTTTCCCCGATGTGTAATTTTGCCCCCGTCGAACCGAAAATATCGCAGAGCTCATGCAAATCGCTCCGCCCTAAATCGGATTCGTACAAACGCGATTGCAAATCGCAAGAGCTATATCTCCCTAAGTTTTTTTTTTTTCATAAATTAGAGACAATTGCATGAATCCAATCGATTGCACTTGTTTCCGTCAGTTTGCTTTTATCGATTAAACATCGGATGTGATATTATATAAGTGATTTTTATTTTTCTAACTTTTTTGTTCATTTAAATTTATCGATTAAGCGCTGAAAATGCATCTTTTCTATTCAGAAATGTTTTTTTCTGGCAAAAAGTAAATCGATTTTCGTGTATACGTGCGGAGTAAACTGCATGTAAGAGAAAAAAGTCGATTGCTATAATCAAGTATAGTCAGCAAAAATGGCGCAATATTGACCGGAGGAGGAGGCAGGGAATTGTCCGTTATGATTATTTCCTTCAATGTGTGTGGACACCAATTTCGTTACAACCATGTCATTTCCGGTGACATGGTTTTGTCTTCGATCACCAAATGACATATGTAGCAGAACCGATGCACATGACTCTGCTGAGAATAATAATTGCTGTAGCATTCGATGTAATGTTATACGCGTAAGAAATGTATTAGTTTTATTTAAGATTCACATGCAAAATTTAGTCTGTCAAAGTTAATGAATTGCTTTTTAACAATATTAAACAAATAAATCTTAAAGATTGTTATCTTCGACTTAATTTAAAATAATAATACCTGCAACGTTTTATTGTACGAAATAAAAAATATTAAGTTAGCATATTAGAAGATTCTCTCGTTAATGAAAAATCTATCTCGTATCGTGTAAAGTACACAACTTAACGAGTAAAATTACGGGAATTCGCGGGAGAATTTATTCATACATCACATTTGTTTCTGTGGAATTGTGAAAAAAAGAATCGCGAACTTTTTTCCTCTTAACGCGGTTACTTTTAATGTCGGACGTAGCTGTAATGTCGGCGCTCTCGTAAAAGTCTCGGCGATGCGATTACCATAATAAATATGAAACGAGATCTTGCAGCGTAAGCACGAGATAAAGAAGAGGAAGCGCGAGAGGAGAAAGAAAGTTAAATACGCACGTTTCGTTGCGTACAAAACGCAAGACGCTTACGCGACGCAGCATCGCACCGCGAATACCACCTGTTAGGCTGATGTAAATCTTCGTAATGTTTATGACTCGGTTTGCAACTTGTTTCGCTGATAAGAAAGATTGTTCTAGACACACGAAGCCCAGCATTCGGATGCAAAATGGAGCTTCGAGTATCCGCGTTACATATATGTAACTCGTTTGTTACGTACAGGTCGCGAGTACCCGTACGATGTGGTTGTTCTTAGAATGCGGGTGCCTCTATAACGTTGTTTTTACAATGAATTATTAAATTATTGACTTAAAAAAATACTAATAAAATTTCGATGACAAATGTCAGCTTGTTAACGTCTCGTATTTTTATAAAATGTTGATCTTTTTACTTATAATTAATTATCTGCTGCCTGAAATAGTATTCGACCATATAAAAACGGTTTAATAGCATTTATTATCTCATTTGATTCTTAAAAAGTATTATCTTGAATTTAATCCTCAGTTTGTTTAATGCAATGTTCTTGCGCGCTATAAAAATCTGTAACAAATTTAAATAAATATATATATTTATTTAAAGTATTCTACACATATATTTGTATAATTTATACAAAATCAATTTGTGAAAATTTCTTCTGCAATAAAACATTATTACAAATGTATTAGGTATTAAGTCTATATTTTAAAATATTATTTTTTCTTATACATACACATATAATACAGCATTCCAACTCTCTTGGATCAACTATAAAGACTTACTTCAAATTGATGATGGAATTTCGATTTAAAATTCAATTTTAAATTTCAAGCTTCTTGTTTAAAGAAAGCTTAACGTCAAACGTTAAATAAATTCTATAGGAACAAAAATGTCGGTCAATCAAACGTTTACGTCGCGAAAAATTAATTCCGCTCCATGAATCCATAGATGAAAAATTATTTGCGATAGCCGGCTCGCGTGTAGATATCCATTGCACTTTGGAGGAAAACACTCGTGGAGATGGTCCATTAGTAGGCCGCGCGTCGAGCGCGGTCAAAAATGACGGCGACGCGATCAGTTATGGATGGCAGCGCTCGCGGATCCCCAATAATTCCCGGGCGCGCTCCGTGACGGATCTTTGTTGGTTTGTAAAACATCCGTTTGCACATTCCATTAAAACGGCCATCGGTATGCGCGGCGACGATCCCGTCTCGCCGGGCACGTAGACGAAACATGCGGTCGGCGCGACGCTCTCATGAAATGGAATCAATCAAATATGAATCGTGCGCGCGATGACGTGCATATGGGTGTCCCGGGGTCTCTCGCTGCTCGTTTTTCCCCGCGTCGCGTCGTGTCGTCCAAGCCCCCCGACGTGGTTGATAGCAGGTGCACGTTCTCGCGGAGACGTCGCGATGGATGGAAGAAGCTGTTAATATTCAATTTTAATATTTTGGTGATGTGTGCGAGTGAATTCTTGCAAATTTCTTTCGTAAAGAGAAGAAATAGAAACAGAAAAAAGCATTAAATTGTAGAGCAATATTCATTTTTCTTAATTTTTTTGTTTTCCCTCCTTCTTAAATCCTCTTTGAATCTCTGTCATTTGAGCCGTTTATATCTCAAATATATAGATATCTAATATTCTCATGTAAATTAATTATCTATTTAAATTTAGCCCGTGTACGTTTATTCCTTTCCACCTCATTTTATCGTAAATTTTCTCTTTTTTTCTCATTATTTTCCTGTTTTCTTGTTTCATTGCATGAATGTTATCGGTACATATGTAATTTTAAAATACTATCTTAGAGCTTATTCAATAAAATATCTATTTATTTCATAACTTTAGCTTTATTAAATTTCCCAGAATCAGCATGTGGGAGTGAGTTAAGAGAATTTAACCAATGTCCGCAGGTGAGAACACGGCCCGCGAGGATGAAAGTGGAGGGCGGAGCGGCGACGACGACGACGACGACGACGATCCTCCACAAGGTCAAGGTTAAGGAAGAGACAAAGGAATGCTGTGGCTACCAGCAAGCCTCGCCGTCGTCCACGTTGACGGCCACCACCGTCGCGACGCCCACCGTCTCGGCCGCGACGGCGATCACCACGACCGTCACCAACACCAACGGCATTACGACCGCGAATTCACCGTCGACGGTTACTACGATCGCCGTCCCCGCTTCCGCCCCGCAATCTTCCGGTATTATCTGTCATCCGCCGACGACCGTCCTCAATACCGTCGATTCTTTCCCGGTCGATCTCGATCTCAAGGCGAAGAATAAGGGTGAATATATATTTTTTTCCCTTACACGTCTCCCTGAAAAAAATCGATCGCATGACGGGGCAGGAAAAACAACGATGAATCGATCGTGCATGTGTATCTTCTACGGATCCTTGATGAGATATCATTGATCTGATTATAATTAATATTGGTAATTATTTTTTTAAATATATATAATATATTTTTTAAATTATTTTTTAAATATATATATATATATATATATATATATATATATATATAATAAATATAATATATAAATTAAATATAATAATAATTTTTTTAATATAATATTATTTTAATTATTTTTTAAATGTAATAATATTAAGAACAGTTTTTCCTGCTTTGTGGAATCATTTTTATTTTCTAGGAACTTGCTATCGAATGTTTAGCAATAGAGATTTTTCTTAGAAACGACTATTTCCGCTTTCTTGAGAATGTTCGATCGAACAAGTTGGTCTGTTTGCCAAAAGTGTAAATATCAATTTGTATTGATCTATTGCTATTGCTATTGATTTCTCTGCGCAGTGTCTAGTCTCCATAGCCTGTAATGTCATGCTTTGCAAAATGTACGTGGAAATATCGGCAGACTCTTGGCAGACGTTTGGTATTGTAAAATTAAGTAGAGATACGTTGTTTCGTGAGATACATAGATGCACTGGAAAACTTGTTATTGTCGTGGATAGACGTTATTGCAAAAAATTCCCTTTGTCGCATTAAAAAGCGCAAAAATAGAATCGCAATTGGAAATTTGAACGGCCGCTATTAACGTGAATGATTGTAATATGTCGTTATTGCTTCATGTTTAATTATAATTCAACTCGATTCGAGGTATGTGTGATTCGAAGTATCTCGTTGCAACGAATATGTGACGTTCAGAGTTGTTAATATCTCCTTCACTTCCATCCCAGTCGGCAATATATTGTAATAACTCGTCCGGGTGGAGTGACACGTGTCGTTTAAAAATTTACAACGTGATCACACTCTATCTGATATATAGTTTATCTGATCTATCGCACTCCCGTAAAACAAAAAAAAAACAAATCACTCGGTAGAGCCCAGCTGAATAGCACGGGACGCTATTCTGTTAATTCGAGATATACATCGACGATTCTCGCTCGAGAGTATGTCGATGGCGTATAGCATCCAGGTGCGGTAAGTGCAGTTTATCTAATTTCAGATTCGCGTCACACGGTACATTATACGTGTACACTTTTTTCTGTTAACTTAATGCGGATTTCACCGTTTAGCGCGCAGCTGTCAGCTGTCAAGCTGTCGCTTACAATCTGTCACTTGCCGCAGTCAAGATTGTGCCATGTGACAACCAATCTTTTATATTTTACTAGCGAAAATTAAGTTTTTAATTAAAATTTGTATACGAGTAACAAAAAAAAAACAATATGTTAATGAAGTTTTAATTAAAATGTATAAAGCATATAAATGTTCCAAACAAACTAGATTGACGTAAATCATGTGTAAGTTTAACGCGAACGCACTCATGTCAACTTTACAATAATTTTTCTCCAGCAGTTTGTGTTATTCGTTTGTGTTATTGGTTTAATCAAAGCTGTTTAATAAGATACACACCTGCGGATTCAAAAGACATTTGTACTAATTATTTAAAAAATAATTTTAATGTCTGCGATCCGTTTGAAAAACAATATTGTACGACGGCCTTTCCCGGAGTGGCATTGGAAGTTGACCCCGATCCTCGAAACTGAAAATTAAAAGGAACGACCTCGCCTCGATGTCCGCGCGAGAGCCTGTGGGCGCATCGTACATTAGTTCGGAATATTGCATGACGGTACCCGTATATCGAGTCCACGCGCGCTCGCTCTTTCGCTCGAATCGTACATTCAGCTCGAGCCGGTTATCTAGACGGGCGTCGAGCCCGCAGCTAACTTGAGAACCGAGGCTCGGGAGAAAAAAGCCCCTTCTGGTACATCAAAGCCCCGTCATCACGCCCAAGCACGAGCTCTCTCTCTCTCTTCCTCCGTTTATCCTAAAATCGAATTTTTATCGTCGCAACGTTGCTTACAAAATTATTATGGAATTATCAGCGATTCGATCGATACGATTAAAATTTCTGTACAAAATGCGACGACTCTTCTGTAAAAAAGCTTCCGACATACATCGTATCGTGATAATTCTTCGGGGCAGAAAAAATTAATTTTATGTTAATTGAAAAGCTTGCGCGCGGTTGATGACTCGTTAATTAACGCTGATATCCGTGGTATTTTACACGTATAGCTGCATAGATACGACAAACACATGCGTGCATAAGAGTGCAATGCCATCCCAAACGAGAGAGAAAGAGAGAGAGAGAGAGAGAGAGAGAGCCAGAGTGTGTGAGGGGCGAGGAGGGGAGAGGGTGCTTCGTGGGGGATGATGGCGAAACTCCTGCGAGCAGTCAGTCAACTTGGTTGGCTGGCCCGGTGTGTGTCGGTTAGGTTCGTGCGCCGCCTGACTGCCTGGTCCAGACGCGATAAGGCACGTCCAACACTTCCACCGGGATTCTGCTCGGGGCTGATATCATATCCGCCGCGCCGGGGCATCCCCGGCGCTTCGCTCCGAGGTGTATTTCGCGATAGTCGCCCGCACACCGCGTGTACCGACGACCTATCTACGTACCTACGGGATACGGCTTACGATCTGGTGCCCGTCCCCGACGTACGCGCGATCTCTCCTCCCCTCCCCCTTCTCTCCGCGGGAATTTCATAAAACTGAAGGACCCGTAATATTAGACGGGGAATATATTAGCTCATCATCAGGATACATCGGTTCGAAATCTCGTGACGCTGCTTAGAGCAAATATATTAACGAGTAGCCGGTTAATCCGGTCCTCTGTCGAGACGATATTCCGCTAATTATATTTGACATGTTCTTTTGGAACGGTATACAAAATATACGGCATGAAAATATACTCCGGCGCGGAGCCGGTTTCCCACAAACATTAGTTTAAATTAACTAGAACGTTTAACAAGAGCTTTCTCTGGGAGTCCCATAAACGAGAAAATTAATGCACTAAATTAAAATTAATTGAGGTTTACTTAATCTCTTTCCTCTCTTTATGTAATCTTGTTTTAGGGGAATCAGGCCAGCCGCGTGATTGACAGTAATTAACATTTATAGGAAAGCGAAATCAGAAAATTATTTGGAGTCGTTAGAGAGTGTCAATTATTTTTAACACAATTTAGAGAAGAACGGCTTGTATATGCATATCCTAATTTAATAAGAAAGAAGACACGCGTTGACTGTCAAACATGCTCAATCGATCGGATTAAAATAATGATCGGAATAAAATCCCGACGTTCTTGAGCGGCACGTTTGTCTGCGAGATGAAATCGAACATATGGAGTCGCGTGACGTCGGATCGAATCAACGGGGAGGAAACTCGCGAGGAAGGATGCGAGAAAAACGGCATGAGCGGCGGAAGAAAGAGGAGATCGCCGTGCAGAGTGCGAAAAAGAGGGAGGCAGGGGGAGAGAGGAAGAGAAAGAGAGAGGATGGGAGTCCAAGTGGGAAGACCGACCGGGGGGGAAGGAGAGGTAGGGATTGCGATCAAAGCCATCTGTTGCATTGTCCCGGCAATTAGGAGGCGACAGCTGAGTCCCACCGTACTTACTTCCAGCCAGGGACTCTCAGCCGCCGTGGAGCACGTGTGCTTTATCGATCTCGCTCCTCTTCGCGCGCTCCCGTCGAATGTCGCCCACGAAGACCACCTTGCCCCTACGCGAAACCTTGCGCACGGCTCAGGTGCGTAAATCCGGGATGCTAATTTCGGTCGTAATTTTGACGCAGCCACGATTAGTGGTCGCACGCAATTTCTTTCCGCCGGCGAGCTGCCTCTACGAATAAAACAGCTGTCAAAGTGACACTTTGATGAAGTTTAAACGAATCGACATTAATAATATTTTAGCATTTATCATTATTTTCCACAGGATTGCTGGATGAAGAATATATATAAACAGACATGAAACTTTAAATTTTCTTTGCAAAATTTTTACGGTTCATGTTTTTATGAATTTAGATATAATTGAAAGAGTTTTGGCTTTTCTTTGACTTTCTGATGACAAAAGGAGTCTTATAAAAATTTTATAGCTTTGAAATCATATATAGAAATTGTACCGAGTCGATGGAAAATAATAAGAGCCGCTACTAATATATATATTGGCTAATTGTGCGAATACTTAGGTCAGTAACAATGCGCTAAAAGTAATTCCGGGGAAGGAGGTTGATTGACGTAATAGTTTACGGCGAACTTCTTCGTGGTTTGCGGGATGCCTGGTTGTGATATGTACCGCGTGAAACAAGGAGTTTCTGTAAGAAACAAATTTGACGCGCGAGAGAGAAATCATTCGATGCGTTAAGGACGAAGGCAAAAATCCATTTCCATATAATTCAAATTTAACGTTCCTGCACTGTTGTAAATGTAATTTTAATTGTTATTTGTGTTAGTAAAAATGAGAAATGGTTATAGTTGGCGTTAAAAGTGCCGCATAACAAGGCGCAAAAAGTTTTGATAAATGATAAATCGATATCTTATTATAAGTTCTACAATTTTCTGATACATAGATTTGTAGCTAAAATTATATATTGCCCCCATATGTAGACGATATCGGGGATAAACGGATATCTTTGGGTAGAACATTCAAAGAAAGTTCACTCCACGAAATCGGAGGACTGCGACGTTGCTCTGAGTTGTGCATATGTGTATGTGCACGCGCATATGGTCCGCAAGGCCAACCCATATGGGTAAACTTTGATTTTGCTGTCACGAAGATAAACGGGACTCTGCAGAAAAATAGTGCGATTATCCGAAATTTTTTACACACATACACGCTTTCTCTTACATACATCCTGCAAATTCTACGACATAAACGTAGTCTAACGATCAGATTTATTTCGAGAATGAATGAAATAAATTTCGCATTAGCGATCAATTTTTAAAAATCGATACCAAGTGTAAAGATTCTAAAAAATATATACACAGTAAGAAATAAAAT